CTATCGGTAAAAGCCAGAGCCTTAGCTATTGAGTGAATCCTCAGATTGTCTTTGGGAGAAACAGATGACCTATATTCCTTGATCTTTTCTTTGTTGTGAGAGCCTAAAGTACGCTATGTGGGCATATTCGGCATGATAAGTGTTATCTTTGATAAATGGTTAACTGAGTTGTTTAGACATTGACCTTGCTCATTAGACTGTGGATAAAATGCTTTATTAGAAGCATATTAATTTGCTCCTTGTAAAATTCAATGCGCTAGTTGGGCGCATCTGTGCTAGTTGGGCGCATTAAGAATGAACGTAAATTGGTCACCAAAATATCTTTAGAGAGGTTATTGCACAAGAGATAGTGATCTTAAGTCACTTCATGTGAGGCGCACATGGTGGATTACGTTGTATATACTTATCGCAAGAGGTGCTGATAAGACTTTTGTTTGGAATCTAGAATTGCGCAAGCTATGGTCAATTTTTTTTTAAAATCGATCACTTATTTTGAGATGATGGGATGTTAACACTATTATGGTTTGTGTCATAATGATTAGCAGATGATGATGTCAGCAGGCAAGATTGGCTCACTCATACGAGCAATCGCCCTTGGTGCTTAGGAGCGAGCAAGGATGAAACTAGTGGTTTATTTTTATTTGGAGCCAAGAGGGGCTTAAATAATCCACTATGTATGTCGCCTTGGTTACAACCAAGATGAGGTCGTGTTAAGGATCAAACCTGGATATTAGTACCCATTTTCCACGTTGTGCCTGTTATGATTAGCCAGATGCGAGATCTCATTTGGCGCCTAGAAGGCGAGCAAATAGAGAATTCGGGTTAGGTGCTAGAAAGCGACTAGACTAATATCTGTACGGTGTATCGAGGATGACGTCACTCTTTTGGAAGAGTTACTCCACCGTAACATGTATTCATACTATATGTGCTTGGCGACTGAGTAATGAGGTGAGAGAATGAATCCTTGTTTCCTCACCGTGTGAGTCGTATGTGTTATTATTGATATGACTTTCATTTATGTACCCTTTTGTGACTTTTGACTATGTCATAAGGTAAGGGGTTGATGTTCTGCTACTTTGGTATGTTGCTTGCGGTCATGTATGATTCAGCCTTAAGGGACATCACTGGGAAAGCGGTCAATCCTAAACTAAATGGCATGAGGGCAAAGGGAAGATCATCTAGTATTACACCAGGCAACTCACATCGCCCTGTATGAGAGGCAGATTAAGTGTGAATATATTGTAAGAATTGAGAGGGTCAAACATGCTCTTTTTGAAGGATTAGAGATGTTTTTTGGACCGGTGTAATTAGATGGGTCTGGGGTATATGAGACACTATTTCTATTCTTTTTGGGTTGATGTCTCTATGCTGGCTCATTTTGAATTTCTAGAATAGAGCTCCCACATGCAGGTGTTCTCAGCAGTCGCACGGTGTAGTGGCTAGTATGAGATTGTTCATTTTTTTGGGAGATTGAGATAGAGATGTGGCAGTGTCATGCCAACACATGTTCGAGTGGGAGATATTAGAAATTGGGCGCCCATGTGGCATGACCCTTTGAACCTTTTGAACCTTATCCATGTAAGTTTGAATTTGAATTCAAAACTTACTTGGATAACCACTCAGGATATCCATATCTATCATATCAACTGATATGGATAGATGAGATATTATCCTATATATCTGATATGATATGGGATATGGGTGATTAAGAAAAAAACAACGTATGTCGTATGTTTTCCCGATATACTGACTCTCTCTCAAAATACAACGATCAAGAGCCATTTTGCATTGTGACTTGTATGGGTGATATTCATTCTGTAATATCACTCCATTGCTGGGTTAATTGATCAGATTCAGGAAGCATGTGATTTACCCACGAGATCCTTCAATTCAGACTCTGCAGAAAAAGGTATGACCATAATTTTTCATCCGTTGCGTTTACCTTGGATTTACATCAAAGAATGTTAAAAGCTGGTGATTATTACATCTCCATTTCTTGTTCTATAATATTTAATGGAAAGTGAGAATGTAATTGATAGACCATTAGTAAATACAAAGTCTCTTTTGAAGATTTGTTTCACCAAATACTCTTTTTCCTAGTTGAGGGAAACAAACATGGACTTGGATATAGCTTGTGCCATTCCAATAGAGTATTGCAAGTAAGTCTATCCCGTTAAATGACACTCTGTAAAGCTGTGAAGTAAATGGTACATTTATGAAATACCCATCCTGTATGACAATGATTGATGTTCCTAGGAATTTTGCTTTGATAAATAGGTAAAAAAGTGACAGTTTTCTGTTATGATGAACTTTTAGGCACTTATTTGCAAGAATAGCCTACTGTGGGTGATGTATCTGCTCTAAAATAGCAATTCCACAGTTAAGAGCATGAATCGAGTTGGAATTGCATTTTCATCAAGATAAAATTGAGGTTCCAATTGTGATGGGCCCATTCTCAAGCATATGAATCCCAAAGATACAAATAAAAATCAATGCAAAATAAATAAATAAATAATACCAAAGCAAAGCCACCAGGGCAACTGAGATGAGACTGTTCTCAAATACCTACCTGGTGCTAGTTTCCTATGTCAGTGCTCTTTGGAGTAAGTTGTATAACTAGGAACTTCCCATTTCTTTTAAAGAAAATAAATAAATAAATAAAAGGTTAGAATAATGGCTAAGTATATCAATAAATATATACCCTCATGCACGTAGTTGGGCTCAGAATTATTTGTTTACTTGTTTTGACTAGAAAATGCTATTTCCTGCTTATCACTAAATGGCTTATTTAAGGCATATAAGTCTAGCAATAACTAATAAAGTAATTAAGTTTTAGCAATAACTAATAAAGTAATTAAGTATTTTACTAACTTTCGTGCATTTTTTCTCAGCATACAGATCTATTAATGAGCTTTATGTTAAAATTATTGCATGAAATAAAACGTATGATCATTAACAACCATTTACTTATATACCAACAAAAAGAAACTTCCTGGTGCATCACCAACTTTAAAAAGGTGCTGAGTCTGTATAAAAAATTTCTAGGACTTCTAACATCCATAGAAGCTTTTTATTTATATCAGGCACTTAGATGCATCGGTGATTTGATTGCCAATCATACTAAGAATCTTGATGCCCTGGCAAGCAAAGTTCTTCGAGAGGAGCCACAAGTAGAGCCTGCACTGAATTCTATCCTTCGAATCATCTTGAGGACTTGCAACATGCTGGAGTTTGTAGCAGCTGACTATGTTTTTAAGTGCTTTTGTGAGGTTTGTGTGGGGCATATTCATTTTTTCTTATTTTTTTTTACTTCTTGAACTTCGCTACTGGATTGAAGTTCTCGGTCATATATACAATTGCATCTGATCATATATATTCTTTCATTATTTCCTATTTTTCCTTTTTTTCAATTTTTTTAATTATATTTAAATGGTTGATTTATCGTATTTGTGGCAGAAAAACCCTGATGGTCAAGCAATGCTAGCATCTACATTAATCCCTCAACCGCAGCCAATGACTCATGCTCCGCCTGAGGAGGATGTGAACATGTCATTTGGAAGGTCTGTTTGTCCTCCTCTTTGTAGTCAGTACCTTATTTAATTATTTTTTTTTAGAAGTATAAGGGAATATTGTGTTTCTTGGTTGGAAGATGTGTGCATTTATTCATTTCTTTTTTTTAATTATTTTTTTTTATTTTTGTAACTTTAGTTTGGACTTCCTGCTTCTGATGATTAATTCTTTGAAGAATTTGTTTGTGGCAGCATCCTGTTACATGGTCTTACTTTGAGTCAAAATGATGGTGACCTCAAGGTAGTATGTATTGTTCATATCTTACCTTTCTAGATTAAAGACATGAACGTAATCACATAACATACATCTTTTCTATTCTTTTTTTTCTTCTTCTTCAAGATGAGGATACCATTCTGCATAACTAGATAGTGTTCTGCGTTGTGTCTTCTGACATTTTGTGCTCAGGCTTTATGAGTTGGGTACGAGTCAGTTTGGAGTATTTAATCCTCATTGAGTATTCTTGTGCATTTGGAACGATATAAGTAGGAAATTATTGTTGAACCCTCAATTCTCAATATGTGCTTCCCTTTCTACAGGGCACCTTTCCCTTTTAGGGGGTAGGAGGAATTGGCCTCTTTTCTTATTGATATTGTTTGCTTTGGTTTTAGCCTTCAATCTTGTTGTATGTCCCAGGTGTCCAAGGGCTTTTCCTGTTCATCTTTTCTCAATGAATTATTTTTTCATAATAAACTCTCTTTGAAGCCTTTTGTTTTAAACTAGGATAAGTATCTTGCAAAATTCTCTCTAAATATTGCCATCCTTAGCAGTGGCAGAGCCACAAAAATAATTCAGAAGGGACACTTGGTAATTAAAATTTTGAAATTTTTTTTCTCATAATCAATAACAGTAGATTATAATTTTTAAATTAGTAGTAAGCACAAAATCTTAAATATTTAATATAAAATAAAATTTTGTTTTTACAATTGACCTTGTGAAAAAGCAAAATTGGAAATAGATGGTGTTACTTATAACTAGTGTATTATAAGCAATGCAAAAGAGTCTTGTATATCTAATGATAGATTATATAATAATATATAAATAATGATGATACTATATCATCATTGATATATAGTGTACGGGGAGCAAATATTCCGGCGAGCCCGTACTCCTTTCTTCCGAGCTTCGTCGATGTCCGATCACCTGCGAGCAAGCAACGGTGAGCTACCCGGCGGTGTGTGGCCAGAAAGACCCTCCGACGGTCAAGTTAGCACACACCTTAGGATGGATAGAGAGAAGGGAGAGAGTGTTTGAGTGTAAGAATTCCTTACAGAGGTGTTCGTGTGTCGCGTATGGGGGGCGCAGACATGCTTATATACCTTCTGAGCCCCATATCCACTCCCAGTCATCTCCTGACACGTGGCTCTGCTATCCCATCTGTCAGCACAAACCTTGCTGAACATCACCTAATCTCATCTGCCTGTCATCACAGCTGGAGCTCGGCAGCCGAGCGGCCCTATGCGTTGCTGCGCCGTGCCGTGCTTCATACCCAAGCGCTTCCCTGGCAAACTCCAAGGGGGGACCGGGCTAGGCGGCATCTCGGCGAAGCCTAGCCCGAAGCACCCCGTGGTCAGCTTTCACATCGGTCAATCGGTAACCTCGGCCGACCGTGCCATTCCGGGCGCCGGTCACTCGGCTTGTCTGGCTTCGGCTAACCTCGGACCGAGCATCCTGGTCCGACCGAGCTCTGCCTTACCGAGCTGCTTCTTTACGGTCTGGGGCGGGACGCACTCGGCCCAAGTTCTACCCGGCCCAAGTTCTGGCAGCCCTTCTCTGGGCGAACAGTCGATCATCTCGGCCCAATGCACTGCTGGGCTCTCAACCTGCTCGATCGATACCTCGGCCCAACTCCAGATCATAAATCACCCTCTCAATTGCCCCTTAATTCCGTCCGCGAAGGCGTGACTGGGATTACTCACTTCGACCGAGATAACACTTCTCCGGTCTTCAAGACACCGAACCTCGACCGGGCTAGTTAACATAATTGTCTGCGAACTTGCCCGGTTATATTCCTCGGCTGACATCCTCTTCGTCGAAAGTAGCTCGGTTGGCTCTTCGTATTTGCAACCCGTCGCTTCAGTCCTGTCATAGCCATAAATGGGGACACGTGGCGGGCTGCCATTGGTCATCGGGCAGCCAACCCCCTGTTTTTGCTAGAATTTGAATTTGGGCGGTCTCCTTCGCCTATACATACATGCCCTTCTCAAACTCCAAATCTTCCTACTGCCACTTCGATATTCGACCTCAGAGCTCTTGCATCTTCATCCAGACTTGCTGCCATTCTTCGTGTTTGAAGGATTAGGTCCTGCCCTTCACTGGTAAGTCACTCCACCTTCACTTTGTTGCTATTTTCTTTCATAATACACACATTAGGGCACAAAAACATAGCTATTAGGGCATAGGTTGTAGAATCCGCACCTAACCTCCCATTGTTCTTGGTGTTCTTCATATTCATGAAGAACACTGAAAAACTGGGGTGAATCGGGCTCTTGGTCCTCTTTTGATCCAAAAAACCAGTCCAACCGAGCAAATAACAAGTTTGTCTCGACCCCAGCAAAAACCGAGATAACAAAAGGATTTGGTCGCTCAACCGGGCTAACATCTGGTCTGCTTGGGCGACCGGGCTCCTTAGATAGAGTAGGCAACCGAGGTGGTTTGGCACCCTTAATGACCGAGCTAAAATCCAGCTCCTTTTGCGCGACCGCGCTAACACTTAACACTTGCCATCCTTTTCCTGCAGAGTCCAAGGGGACCACTGTCATTCCTGAGGCTCTCAGGACCGAGCAGCATCCAATAACCAGTGCCAAACCCCTCAGCCGGGATAAACTAAGCCGGCCACAAATGGGGAAATTCCGCTTCCTAGTGGATACTCCGGCCGCGCAAGCTGCTTTTAGAGAGGATTACGGCATTCCGGCCGATGTTCATCTCGAACTGGCAGAAGAGGAGACCACACCCTGGGGAAGAGTTGACCAATGTCCCTTCACCGTGCTCTCAATCGTCGAAGGGGGACTCCGATTTCCGCTCAACCCTCTTATAACCGAGTTCCTTCAAGAGAGATAAGTGAAAGAAAGAGAGAGAGAAAGCGAGAGAGAAGAGAAATGAGCGAGAAACACAGAGAGAAAAAGAGACCTATTTCATTTTTTGACTTTTTCCTCTTTCAACAACAATGGGCTCAGAGAAAAAGATGAGTGTGATTGAGAAAAATGAACAATTGAGAGAGATGAGAGATGAGTGAGAAAGAGAGACAGAGAGAAAGAAAAAAAGAGAGAGATAAACAAGATGAGCGAGAGATGGACAAAGAGAGAGAGAGAGAGAGAGAGAGCGAGAAAAAAGAAATGAACAAGAGATATAGAGAGAGTGAGAGGGAGAAGAAAGATAAGCAAGAGAGATAGAGAGAGAGAGGAGATTGAGTGGTAGTGGTAGAGGAGATTAAGTGGCGGTGGTGGAGGAGAGGTAATAGTAGTAGTAGTAGTTGTAGTAGTAGTAGTAGTAGTGGTAGTAGTGGTGGTAATGGTAGTGGAGTGGTAGCGATGGTGGTAGTAATGGTAGTCGAAGAGGTGGAATGACAACAGTGGTAATAATGGTGATAGTGGAATGACATTTGCAGTAGTGGTGAAGGTGGTAGAGGAGATTGGTGGTGAGAGAGAGATGAGTAAGAGAGAGAGAGAGAGAGAGACAGAGAGAGCGAGACAGACAGAGACAGAGATAGAGTGATGAGCGAGAGAAAGGCAAAGTGGTCGCTAAAAGTGCATTTTCTTGTAGTGGAGAGCTCAGTAAATAGAGAAGATGAGACATAAAGAAAGAAAGATAGAGAGAAAAGTGAAAGACAAACAGACAGACATAGAGAGAGAAAGAGAGAAAGAAGAGTGAGAGACAGACAGACAGACAGACGCAAAGAGAAAGAGAGAGAGAAGAGTGATGAGTAAGAGAGAGATAGAGAGTGTACGGGGAGCAAATATTCCGGCGAGCCCGTACTTCTTTCTTCCGAGCTCCGTCGATGTCCGATCACCTGCGAGCAAGCAACGGTGAGTTACCCGGCGGTGTGTGGCCGGAAAAACCCTCCGACGGTCAAGTTAGCACACACCTTAGGATGGATAGAGAGAAGGGAGAGAGTGTTTGAGTGTAAGAATTCCTTACAGAGGTGTTCGTGTGTCGCGTATGGGGGGCGCAGACATGCTTATATACCTTCTGAGCCCCATATCCACTCCCAGTCATCTCCTGACACGTGGCTCCGTTATCCAAACAATGAGACTTTTATAATTAATATATTTCATCTTACAAAAAATTGTTTCATCACTAAATTTTTTATCTTAAAAATCTTAATTTATTGTAGTGTGAAGTAGTCACCGTTGGTTTCTAATTTCATTTTCTTTAAAGTTTAATTTCTTTTAATTTTCTTAATGTTTAGTTTTATTTTTTATTTTTTTTGAATTTTAAAAAGTGTAGTTTAGTCAGCTCTCAAGTCTCGACAACAAAAGTGACTAATGCCTCATTTGGGAATTGGCTATTTTAGTTAACTTTTTAACTTTCTATAAAAAAAAAAAATGTGCAAAAAAATAAAGAGAATATGTGAGAATTTGAAGTGATTTTTTGACTTTTTAACTAAAAAGCTAAAATCCCCCAAACGGAGCTAAATAATTAAACATGAGCATGCCACTATGGAGTAATTCGTCTAAGTCGCAACTTTCACTACAGGAAAATTGACTTTTAGCGGCGTTAAAACTAAAAAACGTCACAATAAGATTTTACGACGTTTAAGATTTTTGTCTTAGATACGGCCGCCGCAATAAAAAAATGCCGCCAAATCTTTGACGCCGCTAACTTTTCTGTGTATGACATAATGCTAACATCATTTAGTGGCGTTTTTTCACAAAACGCCACCTTTCTTCATTTTCATACTTGCCTCAAATATGATGTCATGATGACTTCATTTAGCGACTTTTTTTTTCCAAAAAACACCATTTTTTTTTTAAAGAACAGAAAGCCCAATTAATTGAGAATTTAACTAGAGAGAGATTGAGAATTAGCTGAAAATTTATATAAATTTAACTAGGAACAAAGATTGAAAATTAACTAAGAACATAGGTTGGCTCAATTTTGAATTATAATGCAAAATTGAAGACTAAAAATTTCGCTTTATCTCCTTGGAGATTTAACCCTACAATTTTCCAAATCTCAATCATGCACTCAGTTTGAATTTTCTTCAAATCATCCCCCATTTTGTTGTTCAACTGTGCAAACCAATCTTTACTTTGCAACCAACATAAGTCTGTTGGTTGATACTAATTATCGATCCTTCCCTTCCTGACGTTCCCTTTATTCGCCTGACCGAGGAGCAAGAAATGGCCAAGCGCAGCAGAATCAAGAATCTGCTCACCGCCACATCCGCCGAGGTGCCGAGCGTAGTAACTCGGTCGCCAGCCGCCGATCAATCTAGTGGCGCTGTGGTCGCCCTTGCCACTCAATCCGCTGGGCAATCCAGCCGAGAACCCTCTGCTCGACGTGCCGGTAAAAGAGCTCGGGGAGACCCGTCCGCCGAGCTAGTCACCGAGCTTACCACCGAGCATCCAACAGATGCCCCTGCTCGACGTGCCGGCAAAAGAGCTCGGGCAGACCTGTCCGCCGAGCTAGTCACCGAGCTTACCACCGAACATCCAACAGACCCCCCCGCCCCAGTGCCGGCCTGGCGCCCACATTTGAAGCACCGGGGTCAAGATATCCCGATGATGGCTTCGATCAAGGCTGACAAAGAACATCTGCTCGCCTTCGATCT